TGCGTGGCGGGTGGGTCGCGGTGGGTCGCGGGTGGGTCGCGGACGCGGTTTGGGTCGCGGGTGGGTCGCAGCTTCTCCCACCTGGACGAATGCAAAAGAAACCCGCCGCAAACGCCGATCATTTTGGGTTGGTCGCGGGGTGGGTCGCGGGTGGGTCGCGGGTGGGTCGCGGTGGGTCGCGGTGGGTCGCGGGTGACTCGCGGGTGGGTCGCGGGGTGGGTTGCGGGTGGGTCGCGGGTGGGTCGCGGGTGGGTCGCCGGTGGGTCGCGGGTGGGTCGCCGGGGGGGTCGCGGGGTGGGTCGAGGGCGGGTCGCGGTGTGGGTCGCGGGCAGGTCGCGGGTGGGTCGCGGGTGGCTCGCGGGTGGGTCGCGGGGTGGGTCGCGGGTGGGTCGCGGGGTGGGTCGCGGGTGGGTCGCGGGGTGGGTCGCGGGGTGGGTCGCGGGGCGGGGTGGGTCGCGGGGCGGGTCGCGGGTGAGACGACGACAACACCAAACAACAAACAACAAACAACACACAACAAACAACAGACAACAGACAACAAACAACAAACAACAAACAACACACAACAAACAACAAACAACAACCAACAACCACAACCACAACAACACCACCACCACCACCAACAACAACAACAACAATAACACTAACAACAACAACTGCAACAACAACACCGCCAACAACAACAACAACAACAACCTCAACAACAACAATATCAACAGCAACAGCAACAGCAACAGCAACAGCAACAGCAACAACAGCAATAACAACAACGAGAATCCGCATCGCGGAATTCCAATTCAGCGACGCACCCAGGGACAGTAAATGACCGTTCGGTTCAGTCCCCTCACTCTGAGCAAAAACGCCCCCAGCATTCTCAAAAACAGTCGAAGCATCGTCCCCAGACTATTTTTCAAATATTTTTGAGCATCCCTCTTGTAGAGGGACAGGCCCGATTTAACGGCAACGTCCGAAAACTCGCTGCCGAACTCGAAACCGATAGCGACTCGGGTCCCTGGAAACCAGCCTTAGGTCGGGCATGCCCCCCTACAGGGGGATTTGGGGCGAAAAATTAAAGATATTCAAAAATATTCCCAACATGCTCAAACATCGTCGAAACATCATTTCCAGACTATTGTTTAATACTGGTTTTGAATACCCATCCTGTAGAGGGACAGGCCGGACTTAACAGCAAGGTCCGAAAATTCGCTGCCGAACTCGAAATCGATATCGACTCGGGCCCCTGAAAATAGCCTTAGGTCGGGCCTGTCCACCTACAGGGGGATTTGGTGCGAAAAATGAAAAATATACCAAAAACGCGCCCAACAGGCCCAAAAATAGTCGAAACATCGTTCCCCGAGTATCTTTCAACTATTTTTGAATATCCCTCTTGTAGAGGGACAGGCCCGACTTAACGACAACGTCCGAAAACTCGCTGCCGAACTCGAAATTGATATCGACGCGGGTCCCCGGAAACCAGCCTTAGGTCGGGCCTGTCCCCCTACAGGGGGATTGGGGGCGAAACATTTAGACTACACCAAAAACACCATCCCTCCTGTAGAGGGTCAGGCCCGACTTAACGGCAACGTCCGAAAATTCGCTGCAGAACTCGAAATCGATATCGACGCGGGTCCCCGGAAACCAGCCTTAGGTCGGGCCTGTCCCCCTACAGGGGGATTGGGGGCGAAACAATAATATATAGATATATATATATATATATATATATATATATATATATATATACAAAAAAAACAGCCCCAAAATGCTCAAAGGTAGTCGAAACGTCGTCCCCAGAGCATTTCTAATCAATTTTTGGAAATCCCTCCTGTAGAGGGACAGGCCCGACTTAACGGCAACGTCCGAAAATTCGCTGCCGAACTCGAAATCGATATCGACTCGGGCCCCGGAAACCAGCCTTACATAGGTCGGGCCTGTCTCCCTACATGAGGATTTGAGGCGAAAAATAAAAGATATTCCCCAAAGAACTCCCCGACATGCTCAAAAATAATCGAAACATCACCCCCAGATTATTTTTTTAAACTATTTTTGAATATCCCTCCTGTAGAGGGACAGGCCCGACTTGAAACCAGCCCGAAATGGAACTCTGCTGCTCGTGGGCGCTCACCCGCTCCACTTACCGCGCCTGCCGCTGATCCCGCGGGGCCCTCCGCCGTTCACCATCCTCCGCCGCCCCGCCCATCCTCTCGGATCTGCGCAAGTATCTGTTATGTAGATAATGGTCAGAAAAAGAATAGTACTAATACGAATACTAATAATGCTACGAATCGCATGTCTATCTATCTATATATATATATACATGTATAACACACCCGGGCGACAGACCCAACCCCTGCGCAGCGCGTGGCCAGAATAGCTGGGTAGACCTCAGCGGGGGCGATACCGTGGTGCAGCCAGGAGGTATACCTTCTGCGAACGTTACTCGGGGGGCTCGCGAGCTGCGCGACTCGCAGGGCACCGATCAACGCACAAGGGCTTGATGGAGGTGATTCGGTAGGTTCCTGGGTCGAGGGGAAAGAGGGGCGGGGACTGAGGAAAGAGGGCGGGCAGGGCACCCACTCTGATCTGCGTATAGCCGAACTTCCCTGGATCCCCGAAGAGCCCACGAAAGTGGCGACCGTTTCGAAGTTCGCAGTCCCCCAGCGACGGATCTGCGTAAGACATCACTCCGCTGGATCCCCATCAGCCCTCGAAAGCGGCGACAATGTCGCAATTCGGAGACCCCCAGCGACGGCGAGGTCCCGCTCTGATCTGCGTGAGACGTCACTGCGCTGGCCCCCCAGCAGCCTTCGACAGCGGCGACAATTTTGCAATTCGGAGCCCCCCAGCGACGCCGAGGTCCCGCTCTGATCTGCGTAAGACGTCACTCCGCTGGACCACCCAGCAGCACTCGACAGTGGCGACAGCTTCGCGCATCGCAGCTCCCCAGGGATGGGGGGGTCGGAGGCAAGTGCGAGGGATGTACGAGACAAGAGGGGGGAGAGAGAGAGAGAGGGAGAGAACGAGAGAGAGAGAGAGAGAGAGAGAAAGAGAGAACGAGAGGGAGAGAGAGGGAGAGAGAGGAAGAAAGAGAGAGAGAGAGAGAGAGCGAGGAAGTGGGGAGGCGGGAAGGAAGGGCGCGACCACTGTGCTCTATTCAAAGCGAGAACCCAACAGCGGAGAGTTGGGACATACAAATCTGCTTGAACCTTGACCTTGAGCCGACCGCCAACACAGGGTCGCTGGGACGTTTGCCAAGCTTGATCTTCCTCCAGCTTTGGTCACGAAGCCCTCCACATCTCCATCCTCCCCTTCTCGGAGGCGGCCAAATTGAGGCAACGGCGACTTTCGCGCCCCAGCACACATGCTTGCGAAATCGGTCCAATGACCACCTCTGGAGTCCATCCTGACTCTCGTTGTCTCGGGGCGCATCCAGCCGTGGAGGAGGCGGAGACGGCGGAGGAGGAGGAGGAGGAGAAGGAGACGGAGACGGAGGAGGAGGAGGGAGGAGGAGGAGGAGGAGGAGGAGGATGAGGAGGAGGAGGAGGCCCAAAAAGGACGGCCGCCGTCGTCTCAACTGGCCCTCCTCCGAGATCAAACCGCCCTCGGATCATTACTAGGGTCTCCGGCTGCCGTTCGGGGCGATCACTGCGGGCCTGGCACGCTCTTGGTAAGGTGCTGCTGCAGGAACGCACCCCGACGCTGGACAACCTCCAAGAGCTTCCCCAAACCTCCGAGATCCTCATCCCTCGCATCTCCTCGTCCTGCACCCTCTCGCCGCTGTGCTGCGGCCCGCCCGGCCAGAACTCTCTGCGCGCGCGCCTTCGAACGTGGCCGCCCGGTCGAACATGTTCCGGCCGGCGGAGTTCAGCACCGACCTGTTCGTGCGCACCTTGGCGCCACGACTGCAGAAGGAGCAGGATTCGAATATCGGGAGACGTAGGACTCGAATTTGGAGGACTCGAGTTGGCCTGACGGGGCCATCGACAAAAGACGAGACCCAGTCTGAGATGCGAGCTCCCGCTGTGGCCATCTCACGAAAACTGGACCGCCAAACTTCAGGACGGGCCCGCAAGGAAAGCGTCGGCAAACCCGACTTCTGGCGCACTCGGGTCTCATGCTTCCTCAATGCTAGTAAAGACCTCGCTGTGCTTCGCGAACACAATTGGCAGTACAGCCTGCTAGAACTACCTACGAGCTGGACAAATATGATCAGGCAGACAAGGGCAGGTAGTATGGCTAGATGAGGATGAAGAAGATGCTGGGCGAAGATGCACAGATAACGCGCAGAAGCGGCCACGCACGGGGGCAGGTGAAGGCTAAGGGAATCGGGGCGCTAATTGCTGAGGTTGGGCTGCAGATTGCGTTGAGCGCGTGGAAACTAGAATCTAAAGACGAAGCCAAGAATGGAGCAACATCGGACCGGGACAGATCGGGGATCTCGGAGATCCGGCGGTTCTGGAAGATGTATCCGCTGACGCGGCCGTTCCAGAGCGCTCCTCTCCGGAGCGCCCTGAGAGCGTTCTGGAACGCTCTGGAGCGATCTATCCCAGCCCTGGGCCCGCCAGACAGAAGAAGTAGTGCACAAGCAGCCTCAACCATCATGACGGAGTGCAAGGGTGCAATGCACCTAGAACGCGCGCAGTCAGGGTCTGAACCAAGTAAGCAGAGCACGCGGCAAGGCACGCCTCCTCCCGAGGGACGCAGACGGCCCTTGCCCCACAGGCTCCCCGGCTGTGACTGCGCAGCCCGTGCAAGGGATCAGACATCCGCCAGCCCCCCGCAAGCAACGCGGGGCACGGCGATCCCAGTCCCCGACTCCCCGACTGTGTGGGAGCTTCGACTCGACACAAAACGACTTGGGCCCACCTCGGGGACACAGTAGGCGCCCGACCACAAGAAACCTTCCACAAGAAACCCAACCCTGAGAGCCCAGGACACTCATTGACTTTTGGGGTGGGAACGTCACGCTCTCCATCGCACACCCATCGGAACCCAAGACACCTAGGCCACCCTGAAGGCAAGCAGGGTGTGCTCTTTGGCATGGGTCTCCACTGCGTACAAGAATCGCGGACGAGGAGGAGGGGGGGGGGGGCGCCAACCCTCGACGGGGTGCGTCCGAACAGCCCCTCGGGGGGGGCATCCCCGCGCTCCCCTCCCGACGGCCACACGCTCGGGGAGGCGCTCGGGGAATCGGGGTCCGGAGGTCGCCCGCAGGAGGCCGCCCGCAGGCGAGGCCACCGGGCCGCGGAAGGGAGGCCCTCCCCCTCGGACCGCGGGGCCGCCCGGAGTGTGGCCGGAACTCCCCCGGGGATCCCGCCTCGCGCTCTCGGATTTTGGAGTCCCCGATGATGAAAAACTGCCAGCTTCCAGGGGGGCCACGCAGGGGGCCCATTCCTTCTCCTCCTCCTCCTCCTCCTCCTCCTCCTCCTCCTCCTCCTCCTCCTCCTCCTCCTCCTCCTCACACCGATCCCGCTCGAAACCAGAATCGGCCCGCATTTCCCGATGCCGAGCACGGTGCGCGGAGCAAGCCGAGCCGTGCCCCCCACGCGGACGTCCTGCGTCCGAGAAGGGAAACCGACACGTCGTTCATTTCTAATCGTGCTCATTTCTAATTGCGCTCGTTTCTAATTGTTCCTGGCCCCCTAGTGGCAGGAAGAGGCCCAGGATAAAGCAATTAGAAATGAACGGATCCTGGCCCCCAACAAAAATCAAAGAACTCCCGAAGAATTAGACATGAACCATGTGTAAGTTTGTAGAGGTCCGCCAGGACCTCTCGCGTCGGCGCTGGGCTCCCCTCCCTGGGGCGCCGAGCGCGTCAGGGGACGGCGCCAGGGCCGCCGACTTGCGGGCCTCGGCGCCAATCCAAGAGTGAAGGGGCCCCAGGACACACAAATAAATACACACAAATAAAAATATCCTCCATATTTTCCTGTATTTTCTGGGTTTCTGTCTTCCCCCCCACTGCCCATATTTTCCTATATTTTCTGGGGAGTCGACGATTAATTGTGTCTGTGTGTTTTTTCTCCTCCTGAAAGAGACCCGCTCGTTTCTGTTCCTGGAAGCTTACGGTCAACCCGTATCGTAAGGATGCGCGGTAAAGATTCGGGGAGACGTAAGACCCGGGCCCCGACGAGGTCGTCAAAAAAATGACGAGGCCGAGCCTGCATTTTGACGAGGCCTCCCGCTGCAGACATCCCACGAAACTCCTCCTCGTCAAAATCCGAGGCGCGGTCGTCAAAAAACGATGGCGAACCCGAGTCCTGGCAAACCCGGGTCTTACGCTCCCCCGAAAGATGCGAGGGCCTTGGACGCCCATTTCGAAGCCTTCCAAGCGGGGCGCGGCCAGCGAAAGCGGCAAAGGATGGACCGAGGAGACAAGGGTGCAAGGGTACCATTGGGAAGGTTGCCTGTCCTTGCTATGCGGGTTGACTGTGTGCTGACACAGTTATTCTTCCTGTCTGTGAGCCACCTTCGAGCAACTTTGTTTGACAGTCGGACCCGAGCCAGAATAACATCCTTCAAGAAGATGAGATCCTCCGCCGGCAAAAACAAACAGAGCATCCAAGGGTGCCCTCCCTAGCATGCACAATAACATCTAACAAACACGAATAATACTGGGGTGCCCTTCGGTGGCAACTCATGGGAGCCTCCCGTAATTACCATCTTGTCGGCTCTTGCGAATCGATGCAAATCGACGCAAGATCGACGCTACATCGAAGCTAATCGACGCGACGCTACATCGGTGCCATCTCATCGACTCCCAAACGCTGATCGGCGCTAGTCGACGCCAAAGACGGAATTGAGAGGGCATGTCAGGCTCTCATGATTTGCTACCGAAGTGTCACTGCGCCGGCCTTGCAGACGTGCTGCAGCGAATTTGTGCGTGAATGTCCGCCGATGCAACGCCCAGAAACGGCGAGTGAAATCTTCAGTCTGGCCAGTCTAATTCCTGGCAAAGAACAATCCGCGCGAAATTCAGCTCGAAATCCGGAACGAAACTCTCCAGGACACTCTGAGCCCATCCCATCGTTCTCCGAACAAGATCCGCTCTGCGATGTTGGCGCCATGAGAAGTGCCCTCCCCGAACCGACCTCGACCTTACAGTATTCGGCCTGACCTAAATGAAGGGGCCCCAGGACACACAAATAAATACACACAAATAAAAAGATTCACCATATTTTCGCATATTTTCTGGGTTTTTGTCTTCCCCCCCACTTCCCATATTTTCTCATATTTTCTGGGGAATCGACGATTAATTGTGTCTGTGTGTTTTTTTTCCTCCTGACTAAGGAACGATACATAAGGACCCTGTATGCCGGCTTCTCACCCTTCTCTCTCTCCTCCGATGCCTCGAGAGCCAGCGGGCCCGGAGACGCCCCGGAGCGCTGCCGGCCTTCCTCCCGGGGCCCGGTCTGACAGGATCGGGGGCGCACAGACGTGGATTAGCGATCCACGGATTTGGCGCGCGGTCGCCAACGATCATGAACCCATTGACTACCTACCAGACCACCCCAACCCAACCCGAAGACCCGAATTTCGGGTTGGGGGGGTAAGGGTTCCACACGTGTTTTTTCGATGTTTCCCGACCCCCCCCCCTTCTGGAAATCGAGGGTAAATCTGAGCCTTCGGGTTGGGTTGGGGTGGTTTGGTGGGTGGTGACCCATTCCCCTACATCTGCTGATTATGTTCCGCTCCCGGGCGGGTGTAGGAACCCATCCCATGCGTGGTTCCAGGGCGGGTGAGACTGCGAAGATGCCGCCGGTGCCCTCCCCAAGCTGCGGCCGGTGCCGCGTCGTTCGGCGGCGGAAATCCGCTATTGCTCATGGGAACGGGACCCGCCGCTAATCCACGCCGCCTTGATCCATGTTTGCGATCGCCTGAGACATGAGCTCTCCAAGGCGCCGCCCTTAGGTCGGGCACGTCTCCCTGCAGGCGGGACTTGGAAGAACAGTACAACAGAGTCAAACACGCTCAAACATATCCCAACGACAACAGTAGGAAGATCGTCCCCAGAGAAGTCTTTAACTCATCTTGAACGTTCCTCCTGTAGAGGGGCACGGTCGACTTAAGAAGAAACGTTTGCACAAACATAGGTTGTCGGAAGCCCGCGCGGATTTCCTGGATCGGCGCTGGACTCCACAGCGTGCGGATAGCGCCAGGGGCGGCGCCGGGGGCACCGCCAAGAGGAGCAACAGAAACAACATTAAATCTGTTGCTGGTGCTCTCTGGTGCTCTTCAGGAGGCCCGCCAGAGCTCGAAGAGGGCCCCAGGTGGGGTCCAAAATGGCCCGAGAAGGCTCCAAGAGGGCCCCGAATCCCAGCCCAGCGCCGATCCGATCCCTCCGAAAGTTCATGCCCATGCAGCTGTTCCTCCTTCAAATACTGGGGGCGTCCAAGAGGGGGGCGTCCAAGCCGGCGTTCGCAAATCGTGGCCCGCAGCACGTGCACGGACGAGCGGGGACCAGGGGACGTGCAAAAACGAGAAAGGAGCCATGAGATCCGGGGAGATCTCGCGGCCCAGGCCATGACGCCCAGCTCCGCCCGGCCATCACTCAGGAGCAGCGACTTCGGGGAGGGCAGCTCAGGGGGGGGAGCATCGAGCCTGACTCGGCGACGCGTCGCCGAAGGATCGGCCAGGGGCCCCAGATAGCAGAGCCGCGCGGTCCTGGCTGGGGCGGGGCCATCGGGCCCCCATCGGCGATCAATTGGCGATGGGGTGTCGATGCGTACCCCCCGAGCCTATTGTTTCACCCCCTAACGTTGCCCCTGAATCACCCCCCTCTTGGCCGCCCCCGGGAACACCGTTGCTCCTCCGCGAAAGAGTGGGGGAGTCACAGGTGCCCGCGGGGACCGCAGAGAGTGGCAGCGGCCTGCAGCGACGTCCGCTGCTTGTACGTCACAGTGCGCGCCAAGAGGTTCGAGATCCCGGGCGGCTCCACGAAGGACTGCACGGGATTGCATGGGCCCGCCCCCCCTCCCACACAGACACACATACATACAGACACAGACACAGGCACACACAGACACACAAAGACACACACACAGACACGCAAACAAATACACAGATACACACATAAACACATATACACAGACACACTGACACACACAGACAGACACACACACACAGACACACACACACAGACACACACACAGACACACAATGACACACACAGACACACACACACAGACACACACGCACACACAACGCTCACACAGCACACAACACTCACAACGCAAACACACACACACACACGCGCCCCGCACTTACACACACACACACACACGAGCAAACCAGCAAATTTGCTGTGCTGACAGCAGCGAGGGCGGGCGCACAACGGGTTCGGATGGCCGGCGGGCCGCGTGGGCTCGGCGGCCAAATACGAAAGCGACTGGACGGAAAGGACGGCCACGGAAGAGGAACAACAGACAGACAGACAGACACACACACACACACTGTTTCGCAGCGCGGCCACGCGCGCGACGACGCGGCGCGGGGCAAGTCAAGCGGGGCATTATGCACGCACACGCACACGTATGTATTCTTCCCACGGCCAGTTGATCCAAAGTCTCAAGTTCTAAGGCGGGGCGCGTCCAGAGAAATTGCAACCAGGCCTTCTCCCTCACACGCAAACACAGAGACACATCGGCACGGGTACAAAGAGACACAAATGCACCGAGACACACACGCACAGACACACAGACACACATATACACAGTCACACAGACTCAAACACACAGGCATACACACAGGCACACACACACACATGCACACACACGCACACACACACACTGTTTCCGTCGGCGGCGAGGCAGAGTGTCTGCACCAGCGATAGAGCTAAACGGGAGCGCCGAAAAGCGAATTGGCCAGCGTGCAAGGCGAGGGGAAGGACGGACAGGGCGGCCGCGGAGGGGGGACGAGGCGGGGCCACTCAGAGGCGGAAGACTCCCGTCCTGCGTGGGCTGGTGTGGCCAGCCCCGTCAGCGGGAACCATGACAGCTGCCAGGCCGCAGCGCCGGGGCACCCACGGGCGATAACGGGGCCCAGTGCGTGAAGGCACATATTGCAGTGATGCCGTCGGTGAAATGAGACTAGGTATGTGTACGTCAAGAAAAAACGCCGCGGGGCCGCCCAGGCGGGTGGCTGGGTTGACACGGAACGGCATGTCCACGAGCAATCGAAGCTTCAGACTGCCACCAGCAAACTGCTGGGCCCGTGAACTGGGAGCGGGCGGCAAGACCAGGCCCGGGAGCACTGCCACACCAGGCGAGCTGCAGACCTGCGGCAACAGTGCGAGCGCCATGGCGGCGCGTGGAGGGAGAGGGGGACAAGGCAAAGGGGGCGGGGAAGGGGAGGGCATGGAGGAGAAGCGCCCCGCCTGTAGGGAGGTCTCCGCTGGCGGGGCGGCAGCCCAGGCGCCTGGCGCCAGCGGGAAGCACACACACAACACAACAGACAGACAGACACACACACACACACACACACACACACACGCACGCACGCACGCACGCACGCACGCACGCACGCACGCACACACACAACACCCACACACACACGCACACACGCACACACACACACACACACACGCACACACACAACACACACACACGCACACACACACACGCACACACACAACACACACACAAACATTCAAACGCACATAATATCCACAACAAACAACACACAACACATACAATTACTCACGGAAACGCGCATACACACATCTGTATACATATACATACCTATGCGTGTGTATTTCGGCGTCGCAGCCACGCACGCGGCGGCGCGGCGTCGGGCAAAACAAGCGAGAAGAACGCGGGCCGGGTCCGCAGGCTGAGCCGGGTGCGCGTGCTGCTCGACAAAAGCACTCGGAGGCGCGCGGCGGCACGAGTCGCCAAGACGGGCTGGAGGCCAGCTACACCTACGGTGCCAACGTCACGGGCTTCAACGACACGCAGCTCGACCAAACTCGGGCGGTCGCCTTCAGGTCCGTGGGGATCTGGCCAGCGGGCAAGTCCCGCACGGCCGCGTTGATGGCCACGGGGCAGTGCTATGACCCCATCTTCATGACAACCCTCGCGCCGCTCCACATGTTGGCGAGGGCTGTCTAGGAGCAGCGGACGTCCAGGCACGTGCTGGAGTTGGCCTTCTCCACTGATGGCCTTTTGAGCGCTGCTTACATGACGCTGAAGCGCATGGGCTGGTCGGCCTCTTGACCGACAGGATGCAGCACGACGGCGCCGCCTACGACATCGACGTCTTCTCCCCCTGGTATCTAAAGCGTGCCCTGGAGCGCAGCTGCGAGGCCTGGCAAACGCCGCAGATCGCCAACCACTTCCCTTGGATCTCGGGCTCCATCTTTGGAGGGCAGGTGCGCAAGTGGATCAACTCTGGTAAGGGCTCCTCGGACAAAGCGAGATGGTCGCCCGCGCTCACCTGGCAGCAACGGAGCTACATCCGCTTGGTCTTCGTCCACGGCCAGTGGACCAATGCCCGCAAGTACCACAACGTGACCTCTTGCGCTGATTCGCCCTTCTGCTCGGCGTGCTTGTCAGAGGGGGGATTCCTGTGGCATCTCCACGCCGGCTGTGCTGGCCACTGCCAGCGGCGATGCGCTTCCTCAAGAGGCACAGCGACGACGAGGTGATCCAGGCTCTTGTCGAGAGGCTCACTTTCAGCATCTCCGACACCAGCTGGCGCCCCCCCCGTAGGACGCCTCTTCGACCACTGCCTGGTGCTCTGGTGCCTCCGGCGACCCACTCTACAGCGGCGACCTCTTCATAGACGGCACCTGCTTGGACGGCACCTGCTTCAAGCCTGCTTCGAGGCATCGGGCAGCAGCGGCACCGCCTCGGGGTGCGCGCTCGACCAGCCAGGCAAAATCAGGTCCCCCCCCTGGGCGGGAGTCAGCAGTCCATCGACGGGCCGGAGCTCTTCGCCACCGCGCTCGCTCGGAGGCACACCACCCCGCCGCCTGCCACCTAAACCTAGGTCGGGCCCGTGCTCCCACAGGCCAGATTTTGGAGGGACAATGAAACCTTGGCAAACACATGCCAAAACATAGTCCAGACAGAATCGAGACATCGTCCCCCGACTAGTTCTTCCCTACTTTTGAATTTTCCGGTAAAGGGACGTGCCCGACTTACACTCAGGTCGGGCGCGTCGCCCTACAGGCGGATTTTGGACGAAACGAGAAAAGCAAACTAAATGCTCTAAAATGCCCAAAAATAGGTTACACTAAAAACACACACACGCACACATCGTCCCCCGACAAATTTTTACTATTTTAGAATATCCCTCCTGTAGAGGGACAGGCCCGACTTAAACTTAATTAAACCCAAAAGCGACTCCTCGTGCGTCGTGGGACGGGCCGCTCGCTCGCGGGCGCGCCGCGACCACGCATCGGCCTCGGCGCCGTGGGCACACCGGTGGCGACGAGGTGCGCCGACCGAGGGGCGACGTGGGCGGCATCAGCTCGAGGGCCTCTTGATGTTCAGGATCGAAAGGCACGCGGCCTTGCTGCACGTGCACCGCGGGCACCTCACGGCCTGCCAGCGTCGCGGCAACGTCGAGGCCGACAGGTGGGCCCAGAGGGTCACGCATCTGCAGAGACTGCCCGAGGCGGGCCGCCACCGCCAGCGACTGCAGAACGCCAGCACCGTGCTCGATGGAGTGGCCCGATGGATCGGCCAAGCTGGAGCCGCCTCGACCAGAGCAAGAGAGGACGTAGCCATCGGGGTGCGGAAGAGGACGAGTCCGAAGCAGAGGGCTCACGCTCACGCATCACAGCCTTGCGCAGCTGGCCTCTGGCGTGATGCACTGTCCTGTGTGCCTCCGCTCTGCCCGCGCTCCCGAGGCAAGACAACGATGTTGCTTTCTTGGGGGAAAAATGCAGTGTTTCTTTGGTTGTTTTGTGTGTGTGTGTGTGTTTGTGTGTGTGGTGTGTATGGTGTGTGTGTGTGTGTTCTGGTGTTTTTTTCCCAACACAGTGTTTTTTCCCCAACCATCCTGTGGTGTTGGGTCCTCGTTTTGAAGAGACGGTGCCCCGCGTTCCCGCCTCCTTCCTCCCTCCCTCCTCCCCCCTCCTCCCCCTCCCACACCCATTCTGGCACACCCCTCACACGCTTCGTGGCCCCATAAGGAGCTCCACCGAAGGCCCCAGTGGCTGCGCTCGCATGCGGTTCCACCCCCCATTTTGGCACACCCCTGACACGCTTCGTGGCCCCATAGGGAGCTCCACCGAAGGATCCAGTGGCTGCGCTCGCATGCGGTTCCACCCCCCATTTCGGCACACCCCTCACACGTTTCGTGGCTCCATAGGGAGCTCCACCGAAGGCCCCAGTGGCTGCGCTCGCATGCGGTTCCACCCCCAATTTTGGCATACCCCTCACACGTTTCGTGGCCCCATAGGGAGCTCCACCGAAGGCCCCAGTGGCTGCGCCCGCATGCGGTTCCACCCCCCATTCTGGCACACCCCTCACACGTTTCGTGGCCCCATAGGGAGCTCCACCGAAGGCCCCAGTGGCTGCGCCCGCATGCGGTTCCACCCCTCATTCTGGCACACCCCTCACACGTTTCGTGGCCCCATAGGGAGCTCCACCGAAGGCCCCAGTGGCTGCGCCCGCATGCGGTTCCACCCCCCATTCGGCACACCCCTCACACGTTTCGTGGCCCCATAGGGAGCTCCACCGAAGGCCCCAGTGGCTGCGCCCGCATGCGGTTCCACCCCCCATTCTGGCACACCCCTCACACGTTTCGTGGCCCCATAGGGAGCTCCACCGAAGGCCCCAGTGGCTGCGCCCGCATGCGGTTCCACCCCCCATTCTGGCACACCCCTCACACGTTTCGTGGCCCCATAGGGAGCTCCACCGAAGGCCCCAGTGGCTGCGCCCGCATGCGGTTCCACCCCCCATTCGGCACACCCCTCACACGCGTGGCCCCATAGGGAGCTCCACCGAACGCCCAGTGGCTGCGCCGCATGCGGTTCCACCCCCCATTTCGGCACACCCCTCACACGCTTCGTGGGTGGCTCCATGGGGAGCTCCACCGAACGCCCCAGTGGCTGCGCTCGCATGTGGTTCCCCCCCCATTTCGGCACACCCCTCACACGGTTCGTGGCCCCATAGAGAGCTCCACCGAAGGCCCCAGTGGCTGCGCTCGCATGCGGTTCCACCCCCTTTTTTCGGCACGCCCTTCACACGTCTCGTGGCCCCATAGGGAGCTCCACCGAACGCCGCAGTGGCTGCGCTCGCATGCGGTTCCACCCCCCATTTCGGCACACCCCTCACACGTTTCGTGGCTCCATAGGGAGCTCCACCGAAGGCCCCAGTGGCTGCGCTGGCATGCGGTTCCACACCCCATTCTGGCACACCCCTCGCACGTTTCGTGGCCCCATAGGGGGCTCCACCAAAGGTCCCAGTGGCACTGCCCGCTTGCGTCCGCCACCACCCAGCACAGCCCTTGTTCCCTGCGCTTCACCCACCCAGAACAGCGCTTCGTAGCCCTATAGGGAGCTCCACCAAAGGTCCCAGCGGCACCGCCCGCATGCGTCCGCCACCACCCTGCACAGCCCTTGCTCCCTGCCTGCGTTTCACCCACCCAGTACAGCGTTTCGTGGCCCCATAGGGAGCTCCACCGAAGGTCCCAGTGGCACCGCTCGCATGCGTCCGCCACCACGCAGCACAGCCCTTGCTGACCGCGTCTCACCCACCCAGTACAGCGTTTCGTGGCCCCATAGGGAGCTCCACCGAAGGTCCCAGTGGCACCGCCCGCATGCGTCCGCCACCACCCAGCACAATTGCGGCATTCACAACTGCATATGGTTGGGTCCTTCGCCAGGCTAATTTGTGTTTTTGTGTGTTTTTCCCCACGGCAAAACCACATGTGCTCCCGAAGCGCGCCGCCTCGGGAGCAGCGGGAGACCCGCTGCACCGCCGGCTGCCGCTGCCCTTGCCCTGCCAGCCGCCGCTGCCTGCGCCGCGGCCGCAGCGAGCAGCGCGGGCGGCT